AGCATGGGATCACGGCGTCTTCATTCGTAGAAATGTCACGTGCATAGGGTCAGGCCGCTTTTTTACTTAACGATATCTATCGCTGTTTACAATGATCTTTTCAAAAACATTAAAAAAGTACAGCGCTGCAAAAAACAAAATTAGGTCCGGAGATGCTTTTTTAAGCGCTCCCAGATATTGACAAAGAAGGTTTTAAAGTCCGGATGTATTTTGTACTTTTTGCTTTTTAATATTGTCTTGGAATTGCTGGTGTTGCCGCATGAAGTAAATACCTGTGAATGGGGCCATTAGGTTTAGGATCTGAGCCTCAACTTTCGTCTTCCCCATGTGTCTTGGTTGCATGATCCGAGGGCTAAGAACCCATCTTGCCGTTTTCCTCAGCGCATTGAAAGCTCGTAAAAGAGGTGTTTTTTTTTTAACCTCTCTTTTAAGAATGCCCTGTTGAAGTCTTGCCCTCACAGATTTAAAGAAACCTTTGACGGACAAGCCTCAAGTCTCGAAGCGGCGGGTATCCTTTTTACTTGTTGACGACAGTTGTTGAGAGCTAGCTTAAAAAAGGACGTCAGGTACCACTGTGAAAGCTAATGGAGTTAGAAAAATGTCACAGTTTTACCTCATCTTCTTAAGATGTAACTAGGGTTCGGAGTTTTCGGTTTAATCCGATAAAAACCGATAAAAGTACGCCGAATTCATTTTCAGAAATTCGGTTTTAACCCAAAAAGGTCAGTTTGTAGGTTCGCCATTTTCGACTTAAACCAATAAAACCGATCAGAGTACATCGAATTCATTTTCTAAATTTCAGTTTTAACCGGAAAAGGTCACTTTGACCTTCCAGTCGTAGCGCAGAGCCGTGGCGAAAAAGTGGAACGACCGTGCCGACCGAAACGTGTCCGAAGGTATTATGGTTTAATGTGCGCATCATCGATCGGAACTTGAAATCCGGAATGCCCCATGACTTCGCATGTGCAAGCCTGTTTTCGAACTGGTTGTTAGGAAGGCTGGATGCAAGCTCTGCGTGTTGTGTTGTGCTTCAAAACGTCGCACGGTGTCTCTTTTGGCGGTCAAAACTGGTTGATTGGCCGATTTTCGCTCATGCAGCGCTTTATCTCCTCAGCCCGCCAGTGTTCCGTGTTAGCGTTGAGAGGGCTTTCTCGAAGCTCAGGGTCATTTTAACAAAAAAGAAAAAGTGCGGATCAATGAAGAAAACCTGGGAAAGTACATGTGTGTGTGCTATAATAAGATCACGTAATCCCGATGTACAGAAGGTAGAGTTTCATGTGTTTTGGGCATAGGGGTCATATCTGACTTGTTTGTCCTTCCGTCTTTTTTTGCTGTTTCTTTTACAGTTGGACACATTTGCCAAATAAAGTGTCGATTTATTTTTCAATGTATCTGCGCAGTTATTCTTTGAGTGATCACAAATATCAAAGCTACAAGGATCGCCTGATTCGGTGTACGTTAGTGTTTACTTTAATTCACCGAAAGAAGCCGATAAACCTTTTTGGGCATAAATATACACCAAAAAAAAAAACGAAAATTGAATTTTAAAATAAGTGCCGAAAAAAGTACGCCGAATTTTTAAATAGTAGAAACCGAAATCGCGGAACCCTAGATGTAACGTACCGTAAAGAAGGGATGCACAATGCAACACGATGAGCGATTTGTGACTTGTGTAGAGGGGGCTGTGTACTCCACACCGTTGTCGTGCGGTCGGAGGCATGTACGTCGGTCAAACGGGGCAATGCATGAAGGATCGCTTAATATAACATAAATATGACGCATTTAAGGTTATGTCAGGACATCTGGCCTTGCATTGCCGTTACTGTCAGTGAACTCCCAAATCTGACAAGTGTCAAGTGATTAGAAAGAACAAGAATAAACTCACTCGACAAATAATAGAAGCACAAAATATTGGGAGATATATTGAGAGATTTCCAAACTGCGGCCAGCGCACAATTACTACCTCATCTCAAATAAAGAATGTTACTTTTTAGATGCGTTGGAGCGATGCGTGATTGTGGCTTACTATAATAATAATAAATCTTTATTTTGTTTCATCACTGAAACGAGGGACCAAAACAAAAAGCTGCTGGAGCAGCTTGACGCAGGTCCTGGCCCCCTTTACAGCAAGCGACTCCTAAGCAATTTCAAAAACGGACAAAATAGCTACATTGAGAGAAAGAACATCATTTTAGATGTACAGACCACAGATCAAACGAAAAGAAGAAAAAAAATGAAATTAATACATTCATTCTGGTATACAATGGTACATTGGTCCGTATGCCTTAGCCGTACCTAAAAAACAACCCTAAAATAATGCTCGTACCTCTGCCAGCGTTATTGAATGAATATCGACACCTTTTTAAAAATAATTCATTTAATGAAGTAGTTAATTGATAATTTAGCGTGTGGTTGTAATAATGTATGTGATGGTGAAACAAACCATTTTTCTTTAGGGCGGAGTTGATATGAGGAAGTGAAAAGGACTAGGTTACATAATTCCTCAAAAACTTTAATTTTGAACTGCGTAGACTTCTTGTACGCCACAAGAAGTCGGGACCTGTCAATATTTGAAATTGGTTTTATATTAAACAAATGAGAACAAGTGTTCAGTATGATCATAGTATGAAACATTGGCAACAAAACGCACAGCTTTCTTTTGTAAAATATGTAGTTTATTTATATTTGTCTTTGTTCAATTTCCCCAAACTATAAGACACTAATTAACTTGGAAATATACCAAAGCATTGTAAAGTTGGAGCTTAACACAACAACGTAACAATGATTTAAACTTGGTTAGCAACACCACTGTTTTCGACAGTTTAGACAAAAGATAATCAACATGTTTATTCCAAGACATACTATTTGTAAACCAAGCGCTCGAAGTCTTAATAGTGTCGACAAATTCAATTTCTTCATTGTTCAAAATCAGTGGGTTTGGGATCATAACAGTAGCATGTTGACTTTTAAATAAAATGGCTTTGGTTTTTATGCGAATTTACCTTAAGGTGATTATCTTTTGTCCATTTTTCTACACGATCAAGAACACTATTACTTTTAGTTACTAGAATACGGATATCTTTGTTGGAAAAAAAGATGCTAGTGTCATCAGCATATATAATAAACTCAACTTTAAGATCACGATTTACATTCACAATATCGTTAATATAAAGAATAAAAAGTAGGAGGCCTAAAGTGCGGCCTTGGGGCACACCATTTCTTTTTTTTTAAATATCAGATTTAAAGTTTAATATAGACACGAACTGGGTACGATTCTGTAAGTAAGATTGTAACAAACTTAATGTTTTACCGCGTTAGCCATAGTATTCTAATTTTGCTATGAGGACGTTGTGATTTATTTGTCGAAGACCTTGGAGAAATCTAAATATATACCGATGGCTAATAAGTGATTATCTAGTGCTCTTAATATTATTTCTTTTTGTTTTAATAATGCTGACTTAGTGGAATAACTTTTACGGAAACCAAATTGAGAATTTGTACTTAAAAGGTATTTCTCAAGATGAGAGACAATTCTATTTAAAAATATTTTTTCGAGTGGCTTAGAAAATACTGGAAATATAGAAATTGGTCTACATTGTTAATATTATATAAATCACCACCTTTATGCAATACACTAACTTTGGCAATCTGCATTTTGATAGGAAACTCACCGGACTCAAGTGCAAGACTGAATATTTAAGTTAGGTATGGTGCTAGGATATCTAGAACATACTTTGCTGGTTTTATTTGCATATTGTATGAATCAATACTTCTACTATTGTTTAGGCTCATAAATATATTATGGGATTCCGATACATCAGTAGGAAAAAGAAATATAGAATTAGGCAAGGCTGAAGGCATGCACTGAAGTGCATTATTTAAAGGAGATGTGGTATAATTTACAAAATAGCTATTAAAAGCATTCACCATATCCGTCCCCGACATTATGTAACCATTTATGTTAATTTAAACTGACATAAAAACCTGTGGTTTGTAGTTCAGCAATGTTTCGAGCCATTGCCACATCACGTCACTTTGACGTATATTATCGATATTAAACATATTAATGTAATATCTTTCTCCGCTTGTCGCAGCATGCTTGTTAGTTTGCTTCTATATTTCTTAAGAATCTCAAGTTTGGAGTTTTCCCTAGATTGCAAAAACTGAGCATATAAGTTGTTTTTCGTGCGAATCATAGTGAGAAGTTTTTGGCGAAACCAAAGTGTACGTGAGGGTCCTTTATTATTTTTTATCTTGGTTTGTTTGTTTGGCGTTGGAGTATTTATACTCGGTGTCAGCTCAAATAAATTTCAGATGTAAGTAAGAGTTGTTTTTCGTATACCTTATCGTTATTGTCCTTGTCTTTCCATGCATTTTTTCGTATTTTTAAACATACACACAACGCAAGTATTCAAAGCTGTATAACAGAATTACTGCGTCTATCAGATTAACTTTATATGTAGCCTGTACAAGCACTGAAGAAACGAAAAAGGTTGAATACTCTCGAGTCACGTTCTAAAAACATAAAATTAGAATTACGAGACACTAGTATATTTGTAGTGTTGTGTTTTTATAGGTATATCCCAATTACGTGCAATATAGAATGCTCAACATAACATAAATTAGGTAATTTCTAAAGCTACTGAACTGTACCGCGAAATAAACATTATTAAAATGTTGAATAGAATATATTTATCTTTACACAAAAGTTAGTTTTTTAATACTTCCTCCAAAATATATACGTTTATAGTTATTGTTATTATTGTAGTTATGGGGGCGTTTTCAAAAGCATGCCCTACGCAATACTCAATATCATGGTTGTTACGGAAACCTTAAAAGGAAATAGAAATACTGTTCAATATTTAATAACCACATCTTAACGCTTCACTCCGAATGTAATTTTGAATTATTTAAGATATATGTATTTTTTTAAGTTGAAAGCAAACATTTTCGCCTAAATCGCCACTGCAATTGAATCTCAATTAAACACGTGTACTCACATCTGACTGCCCAAGGCTCCAGAGCTCTGATCCCACGCATAAATTTCAGAAGACCTATGGTGCAGCTGGTAGAAATATCCGCCCCCAATATCTTCCTAGATAAACCCGTCAGTTCCGGAGACTGCATCGCCATGTCCATGTACGCCCTTATGGTGTCCATTATGTTGGGCGTGGGTGTAGTCGTCGTGGTCGTATCATTTCCCAATTCACCGGTGCAGAGTGCCACACATCCAAGCACACAAGCGACCAACACGATTGTAGCTTTCGGTCTCATGGTGTGCCGCTTCCAGCAGACCTCGAAACACTACAAGATCACGCACGTCTTGGCTCTCAAGTTCGCAGTCCCAACGAGAATGGACAGTGGAAAGCGGGACTTCAGTAGTAGTCAACACTCCGTCTAAATTTGTGGCACCGTAAGGTGAGGGCAACAGCAAAAGTGAGAGAGGAAAGGAGCTATATAAACTTTCCTCCTCCATCCCCCCCCCCCCCCTGCTTTCGCTAGCTTTATTTTTTTTCTGGCTCTTCTACGCGGTCGAGAAAATCTACAGCCTCTGCACGAATCCCCCAACAAGTCAACAAACAAGGTTTTGCAATGACCCCTTACATCATCCTTAATTAGAGAAAATGAAAGGAAAACGACTTCTTCTGTCGGTTGGGAAAAAAAAAAAAAAAAAGACGAATATAATTTTGGCATCAGCGTTCTCAGTCGGCAAAATCGCCGTACCGATGGCGCAACTGCCGGCGTGACGCAGGAGCGGGCATTCCGTACCGGAGCTTGTGTTTCTGTTACCGTCGAGGGGTAGCGACGCACGGAGATCAAGGTCGGGGAGACTTGACCGCCACCAGCGATTCCATATTAAAGGAGCATCGCACCCATCCCCCAACCGCCTTTCCTTCCCTGACTCATTAGCTTAGTGAGCTGCGTCCACGCTGCACGTTTATGTAGATGAGTGGAATGTTTACGGTTGCGATCGGCCGGGCAATTCCCTGAGAAGCGTACACCCGAGTTTCTGGCATAGGGAGTCTCGCGCTGCGTCTGTTCGATCGTTTTAGTAGCTATCTTTTGTTTTGTTTTTCTCGATTCTCTTTTAGCGGAGCGCTATAGCTGCCAAACTTTTTTGGCCTTCGAACAAAATTGTTGTTTTCGTGGCTTCTGCAGTCTTCCGCAAAGCAGACTGCGTATAGAGTCGTTACTTAGTGCTTAGTAGGAGGTCACCCGAATAAATGATGGCAGACGAGATGAATTTCGATGCCTGCGGCATTTTCGTTTATTCGCCTAGAGGTAGAAGTTTCTGTTAGAAGACGTCCTAAATATTATTTTCATGCATATAGTCTTTTTCTGAATGTAATTTCGTTTTAGAAGCTGTCCCTTCATTAATGACGCACTGCCATTTACCACAGATGTTGACTGTATTGGGGCTGTCCACTAGCGTTCAGACCAAAACCAAGAGTGATATTACAAAATGTATAAAAGAGTCTCAAGTATTCTAAGTCAGTAATGCTAGTTCCGGTAACATTTCCGAAATGTTTGTAATTAAATTTCAGGCGTTCACTAAAAGGTCGTGACTTTCGGTAACCTATGCGGAAATCTGGACAACCGAGAGTACACCAAATGATTACCCTCGTCTGGAGAATGAAACCCCATAAAAGGCATCTGCTCGTGATTAAAGTCCACACACTAACTACCTAACCTCACTACCTAAGTCTAACGCTTATATTACATCAGCAGTGCCGTTAGGCCTAATATTGATAGTAATTCTTCACGAAAGTTAGATGGTTAGTGAGCTGCGTCGCATAAAATGTCATCTTAGGAAAGAGGGCATTTGCAGCGAATTGTGGCTCAATCGAGCTCCTCCTTTTGGGAAAGATTCCTTGCTATTAAAACGGCTTAGGACATCCTTTTGACCTCGAGAATTCTTTGAACATGACGCAATTCCTGAAGTGCTAGTTCTTACTCTACATCTCTGAGTGGCATGGGTTTTTTGGTTAACGATATTCGAGACCCAGGTCTCAAGCACTAAAAATACAATATCAGTTCGCATTATTCCCGTCTAATTTTTTCTTCGTTAAAGGGACACTGACAGGGTATTTATGCCCGCCAAGGTTTTTAGTTGTACGTGACATATGAGAGCCCAACTACCCAGAACAGAATTTGCGGCTCGAAATTTTGTTTCTTTCCGCCCGAAAACCGCCAATCGAGAACTGGCCGGTTTGAGTCGCGCTCACTCTCTTTTCCGCGGTCACTGGCCGTTTTCTAATGTTTCGACGCGACCACCAAATTTAATCAAAGTCGTGGGTCATAGAAGGCACACAGTCAATATTAAAAATAGAAAAAAAAAATGTAAACCCCATTTTTTGTGGCTTCCAAAAAGCGGCAGATACATTGAATAAATAAAAAAGGCAGCACAGACAACCGGAAGCATTCTATGCGTTCACTGCATAATTCTCAACATGGCGTCGTTTTGCGTATCGTGGGACTAGGCGGATGGCAGCGGACGACGGGCGTTTGACCCCTACTTCAGAACTGTCGTTTATGGTACCGGCGAATTCTGTCTGCTTTCGAAAGAGAAATTTTGGACTGATCGAATGGACTGATATTCATCCCGTAAGACACGCCCGACCAGCAAGCCGATTGCACGAAGACGTCACCGAGCCGTCGTCCCTTCTCGTGGCTGAAGACATCGCTCGCTCAAACTACAAGCACGAAGTGCCTACTTCGAGTTGAATACGCACGCGTACGGTTTCTTTACGAGATGCGAATGTGGCATATGCGTGGTGCTGCCCGACTTACAGCCGGGAGTGCATGTATTGAAGGAAAATTGGAATCAAACTTCCGACATACAGTCTACCCGCCGCATTACGCATGATTGAGTTCCTTGAGTAGCTCTGTGGAAAGACGTCCGCTTCACACGCAGAGGGCACGAGTTCAATCCCTAATGTAGTTGTACCTTTTTTTTTTTTTTTGGGGGGGGGGGGGTCAAGCATTTTGCTATGCTTACATTTCCTTTTTTACAATTATCGCTGAAAAAGACAATTGTGAACGATACATCGCTTAACTAAATGGATTCCCTTTTTTACACCTGCGAACTCAATGTAGTCCCTTTCCACAGTACGCAAGGAGCATATGAATCGGGTAGCGTCCGCTTTCCGAGCTTCGCGTAACTCTTCTACAGGAATTGCAGCCAGCCATTGATGCCGACTCGTTGATTTTTCGGAAACTAGTGCACTCTGCCGCACAATGCCACTTTTAAATGCAGAACATGTGAGGCACCTCTTCACGCAACATCTTGGTTGATGATGATGATTAGGAGTTTATTGGCGCAGCAGCAACGAGGGCCATAATGCGCCAAACTTAACGTATTTAGAGCATATTATAACAAAAGTTTACTTTGAGGCTACATATTTACAAATGGTATAAATATCCAGCTTGTTTTAAAAAGTCTAAGACACGGCTGAATGAAACTAAAGGTTTATTACCAAGCAAAAAAGATGGATGAAATGGGAGGTGATCCCTAAAAGTTCGAGAAAACATGATTGACGGAGTGGTTAATGGGACGAACAATGCCACAAAATGTGCAACACGGTCAGAAGGTCTCCACAATGTTCACATAGTGCAACATCCTCACCACGAAGCAGAAACTGATGTGTCACACGGGAGTGACCTATTCTTAGACGGCATAGAAGAACCTCCACACGACGTTCCCTGTTGTAAGAGCTCTCCCAAACGCCCAAACCGGGCTTGATAATGTGAAGTTTGTTGTTGCTCTCTGTATCCCATTCCAGCTGCCATTTGAGAAAAATAGATTTCCTCAGAAGTGGTTTCCAATCTTGGTAAGGTAAGCAATTTAATGTTATAGACGAGCCTCGGGCAGACACGGCCAATTTATCCGCCTCTTCATTGCCCAAAATCCCAACGGGGCTTGGCACCCAGCAGAACTTAATGTCCCGACCGCGTCGCAGGGCGCTATTGATCTTATTATGTAGATGTTGTGCAAGGCGGTTCTTTGTGGGCATCAGGGAGGACACAGCCAATAAGGCACTTTGTGAGTCGACAAAAATTACAGCTTTCATTATACTATTGTCGAGTATACGTTCGACCGCTAGTAAAATATCATAAAGCTCTGCAGTGAAAATGCTTGCCCTACAGTCAACTTGTGTGGCTTTGCTGTAGGGGGCGGAATAGAAAGCACACCCTACAAAAGACGACGATTTGGACCCATCTGTATAAAACTCCAGGTAGTCTGCATATTTTTGTTGCAAGGAGAGGAACTCCTGCCGGAGGATTTGTGGTGAAATGACCCTCTTATTGTATTTTGCAAGTGACCAGTCACAGAAAATCGGCAGAAAATCCCATGGAGCAACCCTATGAGTGTTTTTAAGCAAGGGAATCTCATGGAGGGGGATATTAAGGGATTGACAAGTACTTTGCCAACGGAGGCTTAATGGTCTAACAATGCTCGGCTTGTTTTCGAAAAGCTGTGAACTTCTGCAAGTATGAAGGGCACTGTAGGAGGGATGTTTTGGATTTGAAAATACTTTGTAAGCATAAGAGACGCTGAGGTACTGCCTCCGTTTCTCAAGGGACATTTGATGCGTATCAGCATACAAACTCTTCACAGGAGATGTGCGAAATGCACCTGTAGAAAGTCGTAGTCCAAGGTGGTGTGCTGGGTCAAGCATCTTAAGAGCGGATGGCCGCGCTGACCCATATACTACTGCACCATAGTCGAGGCGGGATCGAACTAAGGAGTTATACAGTCGTAGGAGACAGCGCCTATCAGCACCCCACGACATATGCGATAGCACTTTTAGGATGCTTGATGACATCAAGCATTTCCGTTCCGAATTCTTCAGATGGGGTACAAAAGTAAGTTTCTTATCAAAAATAACGCCCAAAAATTTGTGTTCTTGTTGGACTGATATCTCAATGCTATTAAGATGGAAGAAAGGATCAAGAGACAATCCCCGGCGTAATGAAAAAGGAACGCAGACTGTTTTTTCAGGAGAAAATTTGAAGCCATTTTCGTCTGCCCACTTACACATTCTATTGATTGTTAGCTGCAATTGTCGTTCACAACTCGAGAGATTACAGGAAGACACAGAGATTTGCACATCATCCACATATAGAGGGTAAGTTACTGATGATGCCATAACCTTAGCTAGACTGTTAATCTTTACAGCAAAGAGGGTAACGCTCAACACTCCTCCTTGAGGAACACAATTTTCTTGAGAAAAAACATCTGACAGTGTGGAGCCCAATCGGACTTGAAACGT